GGGAGTGCTGGGTCACCCGTCCTAAGGATTGTAAGGGAAAAGATTTTAGGGGCGGTCCCAAGGGAAGATCTCAATAGAATATTCAGCAGTTTTCCAGGTGTCCTTTCAGGGTTGTGGTTTCCTCCACTGGTTGGTTGGCTGGAGCCAGTACAGGGGGTTATTAGCAATGCAGCTGATCCTGAGGCCGTCTGTGGCTGTTTTTGTTGCTTTTCTGGGCCTGGAGCTGAAATACAACTGGGGCCTAGATGTTATCTCTAGGGAAGAAAGGTCAGAGGGTCCAAACCACAGGACCAGTGATATGCTAGGGAAGGAAAGGTCACCCTGGGGGCAAGATCCCACCCCACAATTGTCCATTGCTATGCACCTGAGACTTTCCACGCTGATGACCTTCTGTACCTAGCCCATCATGCTTGCTCTGTGCATGTCTGTCTAACTGCCTACTACACAGAGAGATGCAACTTCAGTTGCTTATGCAGTGTTTTGGGACCTGTGTCACTGATCTGATTAAGGACTGCAGCTTTCATCACTTGGTGTTAACTGGCTTAGAGCAAAAGAGTACATCCAACCTAGTGAGACTTAATATATTAACAACTCTCATTCTATGAAGGGGAAACCTTCTGAAAACAGGACATTTTGATTTAAATAGTGTGAGACATAGAATATTTTCTCCTATAAAGTATCACATGGAGACTAGACAAAAAGCATTCACAATCTTTTTTCTGTGGCCTGAGACAGAGGTTTGAGATCAGGCTACATGTATGAAGCTGAGATGTGCACTCACGTAGCACCCTTTATATCAAGTCCTGAGATTAGTGACGTGAAGCTCACCTCTGCCAGCTTGGCCTGTATGTCTCATGTAACTGTCCTCCCTATGCTGAAACTTGGTTCTGAGCCCACGTGGAGTTTTTAAATACCTGCTGTAGAAGGAAATGTCCCTCCTTCCCCTGCAATCTTAACTTTTTAAGTGAGAGCTGTATAATATAAACAATAAGTAAGCCTTGTTAAATTAGCTTTGGGAACAATATATATTGATCCATATATATATCAAATTAGGTGACTGCACCTGAGTGTATGAAGTTATTGACCATGAATGGAGATGACTGGGGACATCTCTCAGTGGCCCGAGCTAAATAATGCCACAAAATTCCTAAGAAAGCACTAAGATCAACCACACAACTGCTCTCCCATTTCTCCTCACTGGGAAAAACCAGTGCAGTGCGTGATCTGGAGGCTGTCTCTCCAGGATTACAGAGACATATATGGTTTCATCTACGAATCTCCACTTGTTGTGCCAATTTTAAGATACCACAAAGTTCAGAACAGTTATTAGCAAACCCCCAAAGCCAAGATAAAATCAAGATCCCTTGTTATTCTGGTTGAAGAAAAGGAAAAAGGAAAGCAGTGGCCTCTTCTACAGAACTTGGATTTCTAGGCCTGGCCAGCCCGCAACTGGGAAACTGCCCTCATGAAAGCAGAACCAGGGTATTACGTAGAAGCTGTCCCACAAAGTACAGCTTATCAAAAGATAGAGGCAGACACCAGAAACTAACATACAGAATCAACCAAACTCCTGAATGTTAGTGTCTGGATCCCAACACACATACATGTGTGCACATGCACACGCACAGAGTTTTGCAGACTGCAGACTCCGGTAGCTGCTGTTCCTCTGTGACTCAGATTAGCTATCAGCAAGGTTATTAGATGTCACATTCCCCTCCCTCACTTCAGGGCATTTGAGGGAATGCAAAGAAGGCTTGCATCACCTGGGTGTTTCAGAGTCAAAGGTCTGGCTGCCAAGGGGAAAAAATGAGGCACTGGCCAGGATCTGCTTTATCTTGTCCAGACCCTGTGGAAAGATGTCTTTTCCAAGGTGAGGATAAGACTGATTGAAATGAATTGAGTGGTCCCGGGCGGGTAGTCGAAGGAGAAAAGTCACCATTCCGTCATCGCACAGGTGCTTCACTTTATGGACACAAGTTCGCCAAGTCCTGAAGACATGCACATTTTAGAGGTGACTTGGATTCATTTAAGGAGTCCTTGTGTTGTGTTTCCAAAGTCATCAGCTTAGCTTGGCAAGAATAATAAGAGGCCAGAGAAAAGCTTCGTCAGAGCTGAGGACTCGGGGGGGAAAAAGGGGTTCTCCAGTATGACTCTGAGGATAATGAAATATCGCGGTCTTCAGGAAACTGGGTGGGTCTGACAGGTGTCAGAGAATATAACGTAACACACTCATAGTTATGTTATGAATAAAAGCAGTAGTGGTGAGCAACAGAGCGACAGTGGCTGATCCTGCCCCAGCACTTGCTTTTGTCTGCCCAGCATGCCAAACTGGCTTTATTACCAGGGTTCNATGGTGAGTGGCAGAGCGACAGTGGCTGATCCTGCCCCAGCACTTGCTTTTGTCTGCCCAGCATGCCAAACTGGCTTTATTCCCAGGGTTCCCCAACTAATCCTCTATTTCCTATTTAGCCAGATAAGAATGTGTCAACTTCACATTAAGCACACACAACCTCAAGACTCTGCTCAGTCAAGAGGGGCCAGTAAATTAGAAAAAACATGCCACCTGCAGTTAATGAGAAAATTAGCAGGTCTAACAGCAAGGCAGTCTCAGGAAGCAAGGATACTGAGTTTGCTTTTCTGGCCCTAAGGAAAAGTTTGCTCCAACACCATTCCAGGCAGACGGCCACCTACCCTACTCTTGGGCATCAAGGTGACACTCTTAAGGCAGATAAAGGTCCAGTTTCTTTTGTATGTGTGTGGTTGTTTTTTTAAGATTTTTTATTGATTTTTAGAGAGAGAGGAAGAGAGAGGGAGGGAGAGAAAATCAACACGAGAGCAGCTGCCTCCTGCATGCCCCATAGCGGGGAACGAGCCTGCAAGCCGGGCATGTGCCCTGAGAATCAAACTGGCAGCCTTTCTGTGCACGGGACGACACCCAACCAATGAGCCACACTGGCCAGGACAAGGTCCAGTTTCTTTTAAGATGTTGACCTAACACTAACTGCTGCAGGTGCTGAGTAAGGACTTTTCTCCCTGACAGGGTGCACATAGGAGAGGATGGGATGCCAAGTCTCTCTGAAGAAAAAACAACAACAACCTAGAGGAAACTCATTTTTATTTCCTTGACAAATGTTTGCATAGCAATTACTACGTGGCAAGCACTGTTCTTAGCACTTAACAAATATTAACTAATTTGAACTCATCATCATTGTGAAATAAGTACTATAGATGAGAAACTGGTACAAAATGTTATGTAACTTGCCCCCAAGGTGACACAACGAATAGATGGCACAGCAGTTTGTCTCCAGTGTCAACATTCTTTACAGGCATTGAAAGCCAGGGAAGGCCAGGAGTGATAGAATATTGATTCTAACTCAAGTTTGGGATGGCCTAAAATTTTCAAGGCAAAAAATAATCAATATTTACCAAGTGTAAACTACATGCCTGGCACTGTACTAAATATTTTACATGCTTAATTTCATGTATTCTTTTCAACACTCCTATCATGCAGGTATTATTACCCTCAATTTTCCAAATGAAGAGACTGTGGTTTAGAGGGGTTAGCTTGCCCAAGGTCACACAGCTGGAACTCAAACCTAATTCCAAAGTCTGTGTTCCTAACCATTGAGATATGGTATTTCAAGACACCTAAAAATTCCATGCAAATGGAAACCAAAAGAAAACAAGGGTAATCAAAAACCTCCTAACAAAGAAAATTCCAGGTCCAGATGGCCTCACTGGTGAATTCTAACATTTAAGGAATTAATACCAATCCTCTATAATTCTTCCAAAAAATAGAAGAGGAGGGAACACTGTCAAACTCATTTTACAAAGCCAGCATTACCCAGAAACAAAGTCAAACAAGGACAATTAAAAGAAAAATAAATTGCAGGTCAATATCCCTGATGAGCATAGAA